ATAGAGAAAATAATAACCCATGTGCTAGTGAGCTATCCATGATGAAATAAGAAAACAGCTCGCAACCTAGTGGAATAGTGAAGAGAGAGAGAAGTGGTTGTGCAGTAATGATGCCACCAGCTGCTTTGTCCCTAATAGGCCATGCCACCCAGCAGCATAGGGTTAACCTCATTTAACAAAAGCTATCATGAAATCTGTAATTGCTGCTGATGTTTTAAATGTCATGTTCGCCTATATTATTCCCATTATAGCAAATTAAGATAAAAAATGTGACACCATCATACACCAAAGAAAAGGATCTTCAAACACAGGACCAGATCACACAATAATATGAATATGTTTAAGACTGAAGCTGAAATTCTGTAATCAGATGACTGCCTGTTGCACTGGCACCCGGTAGAAAAAATCTTACATCACCTAAATCACTCTTTCATTTCTTAGTTTATGAAGCCTTTTTCATCTTTGGCCTCATGTTTAACTAGAAATAAAGATAAAATATGTTTATCCTGAATACTATCTCCTCAGGTACAAAGTACACAAGTGAACCTAATTATTTTTACAAAATTATTCACACTTATGTCCATATTTTAAAAATCTCTAAAAAAAACATCAGATGACTCCAACAACTGGAAAACATTATTGTCAAAAAGATTTTAAAATCAAACAGTAAAACAATACCTTTTACTAAAATGTAAAAGGTAGACTAATGTATATTGAGCTTGACGATGAACTGATCCGTCCATTATGGGAGTTTTCTTTGATTTTGTCGCTGAAGCGCACCGAGTCTACTCATGGTAGCTCTCTTCCATCTCACAGCCCTGCGACAAAATGTGTCCAGCGATAACAAAGTATTGTAGCTACAGCTACTGTTCTTAACATGGTAGTTCTCCATCTGCTTTTGCGTATCTGATCGCCTCCCAACTATTCCGAACTCTAAGCCACGAGTTGTCCTGAAAATGGAAAGCCCATTAAACCTCATCAACAATGCCGGTAACCTAAATAACCTTCAGCATCCTAAATTTAATCACAGAGCTCTAGATGAGATGTCAGACCAGCCCAATCCCAACTTTCTATAAATCAGAAGTACCCACAGTAAATTGGAGTATGATCCGATGGACATATGTCTTCTACTCTCCAAAACACCCTTACCTGTAGGAGCCGAAGCCTTACCTATCAGATAGGTAGCGAAAATTCCATCAGTTATTAATCTTCAGCCTATGATAATCGAGAAAGCACTCGACTGAACGTGAAGAGTTAATATTACTCTATATTACTTAAACATACTGCCTAGGAAAGAGACCCCGAAAATGTCCCCTAATAACCTTAGATAATATCAAATCCAGAACCAGATCAGATAGTACTATGAGTGAGAATTAAAAAAAAATACATTACATTTTTATATCTTATAATGTTTTAATATATAAAATAGAGCATTTATCAACATGTAATATGGCTTCATTTATAATAAATTAGACCGCCTGATGGATAATAACAAGTACTGTTATGAAACACAAAGACCAATATAGAGAATGTAGTGATTGGTCTGACATCGAATAAATGGTCAGATTATTTTACTTTGTAATAAACTCCAGAATATGATATATACATTTATACGAATATATGTAGCATATAACTCAAGGAGGCGAAAAGATGGTAATGAACCAGCTGAATAAAATGAATTATGATATTATCTGTTAGAGATGGAATATAAAGTAATAAAAATTACTATCCAGATGTCATACCAAGATATTAAGTGTTATCGAGCAATAATATCTAAGTAGAAGAATTTATGAAATGTAAAAGAAGGTAGTGCATTAAAATGCTTGAACCAATAATAACCGGTTGCAAAACATAAAAAACCAGATTTAATCATAGAAGTAAAATTAAGTAATAATATGAAAGAGTTTTAAGGAGCAAAACCAGGAAGGACTGGAGATCTAAAATAAGCGAGTGTAGCTGTGGACGTGCCGACAGTATCAGAAAACAATCAATAAATGAATAAATAATATTAACAGTAGCACACAGAAGACGCATCAATGAAACAAATCAACTTTAAAGTTAAACAAAAAGAAGTGTTGAATGATGGCTAGTATGAGAACAAAGTTTAGCAGACGAGAAGCAATTCCAGGGCAAATTAGATAATTGTAATGTACCATGGAATTGCAGTGGTAGAAAGTTAATATGAGGAAGAATTATATGAACAAGATAAGGGATGGGATACTGGATTGAGCAAAGGTACACTGTTATGAAACAGAATAATAGATGTAAAATTACAACCAATAAGCATGCAATAAATATCAACGTGGGAGCAGGTAAGGAATGGATATGGGGAATGAAGAGACGGGAATAGTAATGTTACAGGCGACAATGAGAAGAGAAGACGATGGGAGGTTGTGTTGGGATAAATAACCGCCCGAGATTGAGTGAAAGAACGTAGGATAGAGTAAGATATGACCAGGAGTATGAGTGAACAGGATAGAATTATCAGAGCATTAATAAAAACTTGAAGGATGAGGAATTAGGCAACTAGCAGAGATCCTAGTGAAGATAATAATACATCAATAATAATAATAATGTAGCAGAGCAAATATTCTCACTATGACACATGAAGGCATCACACAAAACTTGAGTTTAGTGAAATGAGTTCAAAGTTTCAATCATATCACTGAGGATTCCGGCAGGGAAATAATAAATATTACAAAATAGTAATACATTAAATTTTCTGAGAAAGTAAACCCTATCTTACCTCCTGCCAAGTAGAAGAGAGTAATAGATAATGTATGGTACACATATTATAGAGATGATAGAATAGTGAGTATAGAGAGTAGGATGGTTGCAGTCATCAACGAACCAAGAGATGTGGTATCAAGCAACTAGGTGAGTAGATGGTGAGAACGAATAATAATATAATAATAATAATAATAGATAATAATAATAAAAGAGTTGGAATGTTAATATAGATTAAGCTGGTGCAATATATGAGTAGGTATAAAGGAAGAATGAGATTGGTAATAGAGTTAAGCATACTTAAGAGAATACATCACAGTATAATTATGATGTATCCCACTTATGATTATACCACGAAGAAAAGAAAAAAAATAATATCCAGACTCTACAGGAGGAACGAAGGGAAGTAAGTTGTATAGGCAGGATATTTATACAATAACCTTCAAGCCATCGAGTAATACGAAGTATACTGGCGTGAGAGACTAATGATAAATGCGAAATCCATAGAGCTTCATCCGACAGAACCGGAAGCGGACAGTTTGGAAAAGGTAGAAGAAGAAAATAAACTCTTTGCATCATGCTTCCTGTCTGGCCTCAGGTAAGTGAATTAAGTCCTAGTAATTGGAAGTCTCGTTGAAACTAGCTCACATTAACCCACAATCCATAATTTCAGAGACCCATAAATAGGTCAAAGGAGTCGAAACAAAAAGATCTTGTTTATATACAATAATACAATATAGTAACCAGAGTATAACTCTAACACTCACTTCTACACATGAAGCACTAGCAATTAATATAACATTTATCATAATTATGAACATGATGAGGTGGACATCACATTAAACACGAAAGGCAGCAGGACGATTCTGACACTGAAATACAATACCCATACCTAGTGACAGCATTTTGGCATAATGGCCAAATACTCTACCAAGTCTATTTAATAACTGATACATAAAGAAAATACGACAACAACACAGGTATGAGTGATACTAATAGCGAGTCAGATTCAAGAATATGGACGAGCGAATCGTATCTTAATATAACCCCAACACTTCAATGGAATGAACCAATGACAAGATAAGGTCATGTTACTCGTGAAAACCAATCCTACTTTGGCAAATATAGGCGTGTAAACGAGGCTGGACTCTTGGGCAGGATATATAGCAAATGTACGCAACTGAACTGCCACTGTCAACCTCACAGATCAGTGGTGCAAGAAGGCAGAGACACACTACAAAGTGAGCTATGAGAGTATATATATGTAGAACTAAAGAATAGTAAATATAGACACCAGAACAACGACTGTAAAGGACACGTTATAATCCTGATACTTGTTTGGTAGGACAAATCCTACCTATGTTGAAATGGGTTTGATACACTAACAAAAGTAAGTCATGACCTATTAAGGAGGTCACCATCTACTAAAGCCATCATTAATTCCCTACCCACTGCGTATAAGGAACTTGGCCCAAGACAAGAATCGAAGCTACTCAAGACAAGTTTGTACATAAACAGGTGGAAGTTCGAGAATAGAAGAGAATGCAGGGCAGGAGGAAGATGTGATACGTGGATAATGCTGGAGTGAAGGTACTCAGCCTAGAAAGAGGCGCGTACAATTAAGAAATCTAAAGCAGATAGCAATGAACACGCGAAGGGACAGATCAAATGATAAGCTGTGCAGTTGGCGAGATGTTGAACGAAGTAAAGATTGGAACGCAAAGAGAAAGTGGTTGCTGGATGCGAAGAGTAGTCGTTAAGTATGCATGGACCTATGAGTTGTCAGCTGAAACACAGGAGGGCAGTATGTATCAGTGGTCAAGTTGTAGTCAGAGGAGAGGTATGATTTGCAACCTCGATGCCCTCACATCTCCTGATACTAGAGCTTAGACTTGAAGACCCAGGGTGAACACAGTCCTTACATGTCGCCGCCTAATAAAGAAAAGAAATCATCCTTGCGTATGTGCCATGTAGTGTGTCTCTCTCTCTTTTACTTTACTACTATTGGTAAAAGAACTAGGTCCCACTCACTAGCGCTAGTCCCGTAAGAGCTTGTCCCCGATAAGGGATACCAAATACTGCGTGAACGAGTATGATTACACCGAATCACCAGTGTGGATATATCCACTCCGTGACGTGCCACTAGCGTACTCCAGAGGGCTACGTGGCGACTGTGGACCTGGACTTACACACCAGCCATATACCTCCCTCCTTCAAGTTCGCTAACTCCTTTCCAGCAACAAATTTCCTAACGAATTATAAGTCCTTAACCATTATATAAAGAAGCCCAGTGTGTCTCTTTGTGGCCCGGGGCGGCCGAAGAGAACAATGACACCACCCAGTTCTCGGTCGCAGCGTCCTAACCGAAGTGTCACGGAACCAACTTCGGTCCCTCAAGCGATCCAAGGGGATGGAACGAGCCTTGCGCATGCGATATGCGAACCAAAAGGCGAGAGCAACAAGAATACCGAAAACTTAGTCGCCCGGCCCAAGAAAGGCAATAACGCCAAGGCCCAGCGGGACCTAATGGGTAGCCGCCCGGTATCCTAAACCCCCGCACAACAACAACATGTTGACGCTGCGTGTGTCCAACTTAGGGTATCCTAAACCCCCCACAACAACTGTTTTACCTCTTTCCAATAATATAAATTTCTTTGTCTTGATCTTGATATTAACTCTTTCACATATGCTTTGTGACCTCCTTTACAATTCTGCTTTCTCACATGTATGTGGTTTCTACACATCATTTGTTGTTCAACAATTAATATGCTAATATGGTTAGATGGCTCTTCAGAGAACTAAGTAAACTTAAGTAACACTTCCTCCATTTAAGAGTTAAATATTGACCAGACATATGATGGAAAAGAGATATCATCCATAACAGTATTAAACTGGTTCTCTTTTATTTCCCTCTTTTTTATTTACTCTTTATCTTTCACTCTTTAATTTTACCTTACAACCCCAATTGCATTGCAATCCTATTCATCACGCTCTTCTTTACTTATAAAGAATGTATTTTAATTTGTCTGACCTGCAGGTGCAACATAACATACTAAGTATAGATGCTAGGGATCTTGTATTCACCCGCAGAAAAAACTAATTCATGTGGAGGAATTCACATTTATGAAAATAATCTTAGAGTGAAAAGAAAAATCAAGTTACCATTTCCAACACAAACCTTTTCATCTTTCTTTGGAGTGAGAACTTTTTGCCAATTCTCCAAGAGTGTTGGAGCAAAGTCATGGTAGCGCTGGTGTAGGAGTGAGCACAGGTGGACAGCCGTTGATATGTCTGACATCTTCAGCTTGGTCTCCACCACAGCCTGTGCAACCTCACTCACATACTTTGTCAGGTTTAGGCTTTGGAGGTCCTTCACTAGGGAGTCATGCTGGCTCTCAGTTAGGTTTTTCTGCACGGTGAAAGGAGCAGGTAGAACAATAGGAAGAAATGAACAGAGCCAGTATCAAAACTTTTGATTATAAGGAGACATCAAAATTGTTATCTCTTTCATATAACAAATTCTAATAGTTAAACATCATGGATAGAATAGATAGATACTCTCCTTGAACTAAATAGCTTGGTAGACTTTATGAGTTCTTATATAAACAAAGTATGTGGATGATTTAATGATAACAGGCTGAAATTTATCATTACCAGATCTGAAATAAATGTTCCCCCCAAAAAAATTACATTCATTACTTTTTACAAATTGTAAATTTAGAAAACAAAATAAATAAATACAAAGGCAACAACATAATTTCTAAACAAACCAATTTCCTTATAAATGCTGTATTTTTCTTTAAACTTGAGTCTAGAAGAGCTGTGTTTAGTTCTGGTCTGTCTTTTACAACTGCTAAGTTTTGTGCACGAAGTTCTTTCTTCTTAGCAAGACGTTCTTCACACTCTTGAATGTAATTTAAAAGGAATACCTGAAAAAAGAAAATAAATATACATGTTATGCATATTTATGTATACTTCAATTAGACACAAAATTAAACTATTAATTAATTTTCATCAAAACGTATGAGATGTATCATAAAATCAAAAGGTGATTTCTAAAGTATTATCATTATCAACTGAAAAAGTAAGACTTTAATATAAGATATGTATCATCATCATGTGTAGAAATAATTCATGTTGTGTCCATGAAATACCGTCACAATGTAGAGCTAAACTTTAGTGCAGTTCTTATTACTATTACTATTATCATTTATTCTTTCTTTCTCGCATAGTTCTCTGTCAGGGGTTAATCCCTTAACCCATTGGCGCCGGGCGTCACGTGCGTACATGCCATGGCTGTTGTGGACCAAACGCCGGGGGCATCATGCCATGCCCATTCCCGCGCTACTGGCTCGTCGGAAAGAGGTTGTTTTTCTCCACTAGTAGCGGCTTCATTTATATGGTAAAGATTTTAGGCAATGGCACCTAAAGTGAAGGTAAACCTTCAAAATTTTAATATTTTTATAAATAATAGCAAAATAAAAGATTTTAGGTGTTATATGTCGCTCGCAAACTACCGATCGAGCCGGGCACAAACAGGGGAAACTGCCAGTGCGCGCCAACAAGCCGGTGCATACGTAAACTTGACAAAATTTTTACCCGTCGTTGATGGGTTAACCTAACCACCCTGTTTGACAAGAATGCATACCATGCTTACAGTAATACAAGGTCATTTATTGTCATTATACATATATGGCTCTACAAGTGCTTAGTCACCAAGGAGTCAATCATTAGTCCTACCTATCTCCCCTGTTTACCCTTTTCCTTGATTTTTGGAAAGCTTCTTTTGTATTATTCTATTATCTTTAATATCATCAATATTTTAATAATAACTCAATAATAATAATATCATTAAGAATAATAACAGTATCAACATCAATAGTATCAGAAGAAAAAATACATTTTCCTGCTATTTCAAGGAAAGGGGAAATCAGGACCGATCACTTACAACTCTTTGGTAGCTGAGCACATATGTAACAAAATTCAAAGAAAACTACTGGGGACAGTACATAAATCTGTAGTTATTGAGTCAATAATAATCATAAAAATAATAACTCACTCGGTCCTCCTCCAACTTCCTGGCTGCTTCTTCCCTCTGCTGTCTTTCCTCTTCCTCTTTCTGTTTCCTCTCTTCCTCCTCCTTTTCCTTTGCCAGGGCTGCAAGCTCCTCTTGCTGCTTTAGCTTGTTTTCTTCATCTAGCTTCTTCTTGGCCATTTCCTCCTCTCTGCGACTCTCTGGGTCGTCGTTCTCTTTCTTCTCTTCTGAATCTGCAAGTCAGAAGGTTGTTTACTTTATAATCATATGAATGAAAGAATATACCCATGAGTGAAGTCTACTCAGGTGTGTGAGTGAGTGAGTGAGTGAGTGAGTGAGTGAGTGAGTGAGTGAGAGTGAGAGTGAGAGTGAGAGTGAGAGTGAGAGTGAGAGTGAGAGTGAGAGTGAGGAGGAGAGTGAGTGGGTGTGTGGGAAGTGGAAGTGGGTGTGAGTAGGAGTGAGTGGGAGTGGGAGTGGAGTGGGAGTGGATGGGGAGAGTGGGAGTGGGAGTGGGAGTGGGAGTGGGAGTGGGGGAGGGAGTGGAGTGGGAGTGGGAGTGGGAGTGGAGAGTGGGAGTGGGAGTGGGTGGTGGGTGAAGGTGAGGGTGAGGGCATGGGTGTTAGTTTGTGTATGGGTATGGGCAGGGCTGCCGTCAGGCGGCCAGGGCCCTGGGGCAAAGAGGGCCAGGCCCTCAGGGCCACATCCTTTTTAGGTGGGAAATGCCTTTTTCAAATAGAAAATGCCCAATTTTCCCTTACATTTATTAAAGTTAACAGTTGTAACATTGGTAGAAAAACCCACAATGCACAAACTAGATTTATTGAAGAAAGTGAGACAAAAGTTTCGGAATCGTCCTTGATTCCATCTTCCGAAACTGTTGTCTCACTTTCTTCAATAAATCTAGTTTATGCATTGTGGGTTTTTCTACCATAGTATGAACACGGTAGAGTGTTTTTCCATTCAGCTGTAACATTGTTTTAGTATAAATACACCCTATAAATTTGCTGAGTTAGTTGATCTCGGTCTCAAATGAGCAACTACCATAAATTTTTATGGGCCCCCTGGGCCCTGTGGTTGTTGCCCTGCTACCCCCCCTTGTCGGCGGTCTTGGGCATGGGCATGAGTATGAATGTGGGTATGGGTGTGCAAACATTAAAAAAACTTAAGCTCTGTATACAAATGTCATGACTAAATACCCTTAAAAAATAAGATATACTTTAAGGGACAGAATGACCAAAAGTAAGACACTTTTCCTCTATTGTAATACCTTCACAAGTTGAAAATAAGAAAGTTGCCCAACACTCAATATCTTGGCATAGATTTAAAGGAAAATGCAATGGCACTATAATAATCGAAGAGAAAAACTACACTTATTAATACATGAAATAACTTGTGCAGCCAAAAAGTTACATCAGAAATTTAAAAAGTAGCTTTTGACAAATATTGTGCTAATACAGTACTACAAATCCATGTGACATTCTTCTTAGCTTGATATTTCAGTTTGTTTCTGCCATTCACAGTAAAAGTATTGGAGAAGTTTTAGGTAAAGACAGAGTTGAAGCTGGTATAAACTGAATTCTTTAGAGAAAAACTTTGCAAGATTCTAAGAAGAATTAAGCAATGGCTTTCACACAAGAAAATTAGAGGAAAAAGAAGCTGTTGTAAAAAAAGTATCAAATATCAGATTTTTCACTAAAGTCAAAATTGCTGCTGAGGTTTCTCTCACCACTGATAGAATCTCAACAGAGACTGGCACAGAAATTGTAAGAAGTGATGTGAAGCTGCAAAAACATGAAGATACCTTTGGAGATGTTTGCTGCCTTGGTGCTGACCCTCTTCCTTTCCCGCTCCTCCCTCTCCTTCCGCCAGCTCTTGCCTCCACGACGCTCACCTTTCCCTCCATCCATCCCTTGGATCTGAGCTCTGAGATATTACCAACTTTTTGCCTCTTCTGGAAAGATAATTTTACAACTCAGTAACTCAATTTTTTTTACTATAGAGAATGGTACTATCAAATAACATAATAGCAGTAATATCATTATCAACAGTAATATCGTCCCTGGTTACAATATTACTTACTAACGATAACAGTAATAGTAATTCCTATATTGGTTATAACAATTACATAAACAACGATAACAATTTAATAATAACAATAATATGAATAATGATGATGATGATGATAGTGAAGATGAATAATAATAATAATAATAATAATAATAATAATAATAATAATAATAATAATAATAATAATAATAATAATAATAATAATAATAATAATAATAATAATAATAATAGTAATAGTAATAGTAGTAATAGTAATAGTTGTAATAGTAATAGTAATAGTAATAGTAATAGTAATAAATAGTAATAATATCAATAATAATAATAATAGTAACAATAATAATGATATTAATAATAATGATAATATAACAATGACAATGGTGATGATGATATAATAATAATAATAAACAATTACAACAATAACATAATAATAATAAAAATCAATAACAATGAAAATAATGGTAATAATAATAACAGCAACAATAACAATGATGATGATAAAAATAACCATAATAATAACAATAACAAACTATAACAATAATAATGATAGTAATAATAATACCAACAATAATAATAACAATACTGATAATAAAAATGACAATGATAATGATAATAATAACAATAACAACAATAATAATATTCATAATAACAATAATAATAACAATAACAACAACAAAATAACAATAATAATGATAATGATAATGAAAATTATAATAATAATATATCAAATAATAATAATAATAATAATAATAATAATAATAATAATAATAATAATAATAATAATAATAATAATAATATCATTATTATCATTATTATTATTATTATTATCATTATTACTATTACTATCATTATTATTATTATTATTATTATTATTATTATTATTATTATTATTATTATTATTATTATTATTATTATTATTATTATTATTATTATTATTATCATCATTACCATTATCATTATCATTATTATTATTGTTATAATAATAATAATAATAATAATAATAATAATAATAATAATAATAATAATAATAATAATAATAATAATAATAATAATAATAATAAATAATAATAATAATATAATAATAATAAAAATAATAATATAATACATTAAAAATAAAGATAAATAAAAAAAAAATAACAATAACAATAACATGACAATGACAATGACAATAATAATAATAATAATAATAATAATAATAATAAAAATCATAGCAATAAAAGTAATAATAATAGTAATGATAGTAATAAAAGTGATAATCAATAATATAAGTGATTATTATGATGATCATGATGCTGATAAGAATTATCATTATAACAATAAGAACAATAATATTAAAAATAATAACAATAATAATAATAACAATGATAGTAATAAAAATAAAATGATGATGATGATGATGATGATGATGATGATGATGATGATGATGATGATTATGATGATTATGATGATGATGATGATGATGATGATGATGATGATGATGATGATGATGATGATTTTAGCGGTAACTACAATCACTAAGGACTTGGTACACCAGCAGGTTCAAATATTCAAATATCAGCGAGAAAGAAAATTGGGTGCGAGCAAAAATTATCATAGCTACAACTCCAGATCAGCGTCACTGCAAGCATTTGAATGTTTACCAACCTGGTAAAGGTTTAATTCTGAAATGAAACCCGGATTCATTCTAATAAGATCAGGCCATAGGGGAGTTTATGAATAATGTCTGTGAAACTCCTGTTATCACAAAAAAAATTACAAATTGTATTAACACTGTACCTTATCTGAAAATAGGATTTATAAAAAATAATTATGGCATTCATGAAACAAAACTGAATAGGAAACCATTTCAAATTAAAAACAAATGGAATAGCAAATAATTACAATTGTCATCTAATGTCTCAAAGGAACATGCTACAAATCCCCAAATATTTATGCTTAATACATTTGTTGATACAGTTGATAGAAACTGATATTTTTATGATAAAACAACAATATTTACTTATGGTTGTATTTGAGGCACTGCATCAATATTTTTGCTCTTTTGCTAAAGCCTGTTTCATTCGTTAATCAGTTTAATCTACTAACAAGTCAAACTCCACCAAACGCTGCTGAAATCCATTAAATCCTGTTCAAATCCTTCAACAATGTCCCTGAAATCCATCAAAATTTGGTTATTAATATGCGAGTCCAATAACAGCACAACCGCCGCCCGATTCCCCGGCAGACACTTCCCAGCAGACAAGCCGTTCTGACAGCAAGCAAACCAACCTCTTTTCGACTCGCAATGCAACTTCATTCCATGTTTCTCTCCCTTCGACAGAAAAAAACAGTTGTTTACCTGTCCAGTTCAGGTTTTTCTCGTCCGGATTCGCGATTGGCCTTCGCGAACGCCCCGTGAATCCGCGTCTGCACGACGGTCGTTCTGCGTGGAATGGTGGTGATTGCGAGGTAAAATAAAGTGTGGTGATTTATTTGGTGCTTGATGAAGGTTGAGGTGAAATAAAGTGTGGTGATTTATTTGGTGATTGATGATGGTGATGATGAAATAAAGTGAGATTATCTGATGATTTCGGTTGTGAGTGCTTGATAAGTTGGGGTGAGGTGATTGCGTCGTGAATTAGAATTATTGATTACATGATCAATTATGTTAAGATGATTACGTGGTGAATTCTTGGGTGATTGTGTGATAAATGTGGTGATTGCATGTTGAGCGTGGGCGAGGTGATTGCATGACGAATTGGACTGTGGTGATTGGATGGTGAATTAGAGGAAAGTGTGGTAATTGTATTGTGTATGATTGTAGCAGTGGTAGGTTCTTAATAAACAGCTATCAAGTGGGATCTTCGTTTATTCTAGAAGGCGGATAACAGACGTGCGACTCGTGATGTTTACAAGAATGGCTCCCCTTGTAGTAGGGTGAACGATGATGCCATTTAGTTAACACTGGATTAATATTTTACATTGTAATATATGATAAATATGGATATATATATCATCTCCCCCTTCGGGAGTCGCAAATGACATATTTGTGACTTGACTTATACATAGTGCCAATAAGAATAAGGAGTTCCATTTGAAGTACTGATAGTAATACAAAATAAAATCAACTTGTGATATATTGAAAATAAGGATTAAATTTTGACCTTGATTGCAACACTGTGTACTTTTTGCACATATAAGAGAGTACACATATATCACTTCAGTTTTCTTTCATAAGATGGAGGATTACTCTGCTTTAGTGTAGATGGAATGTGAAATAGTGTAACATATGTTTTGGGGGCCACAACACGTATGAAACATATCACTTATTTAAACGAGCCCTGCGTCTTGGAGACAGGTTGAAGCGAACTCGTTTCTTGATTGCAGGTGGGTTGTGAGGTGGCTGCGTAGAAGGAAGTGGTGGGGGAACAGGTAGCAGGAATCGCCTGTTTCTCCAAAATATACGACCGCTAGGTGTCTTAATCAGGTAGTCACATTTGCGACCGACACCTACGATGATACCTGTATTATCCCATCGTTTTGTAGAATGGTTTTGGATACGGACATCAGTATCCAAGGGTATGGACGACAAGGACTTGGCATGGGTATCATAATGGATGGCTGCATGGTCCTTGGCTGAGTGGCGTTCATCTATTGTCTTTGCTATGCCATGCCACTTAGTATCGAAGGCACGACTATGTGTTGGGACCAGTGAGTGGAGTGGGCGGCCCAATAAAATCATAGCAGGTGAAAGACCATCAGGACGTGGTGTGTTACGAAGCTCGAGTAGACCATTTGTAAAGTCTTCGTTGTTATAAAGGTCTCCTGTTGGAGCTGTTTTGGTAATAAGGTGCTTCATTACCTTAACATGAGCTTCTGCGTGTCCATTAGATTGTGGATAATGGGGTGTTGACATATTGTGATCAACACGCCATTTCTGTAAGAACTTCTGAAATTCGTGTGATGAAAATTGAGGTCCTCCATCGGTGCGCAGACGAGCAGGGACGCCCAATTGGCCAAAGAGTTTCCTGAATGCGCGTATGGTGGCGCGACTAGATGTGTCTCCTTGATATGAGTGAACTTCCGACCAACCTGAATAACGATCAGCATAAACCAGGTATGATTTACCGGCGTGGCTGAATAAGTCCGCTGATACGGATTCAAATGGACGTGTAGGTGCTTGCTCACGCATGACTGGTTCCTTCTGTAAGGATGGCTGGAGAGTCTGACAAGCAGAACATGCTTCAATAGTTGTGGCAATATCATTGGTGATGCCAGGCCACCAAACAGTTTGGGTTGCTCGTCGCTCTGTGGTTTCAATGCCACGATGTGAACTGTGTAGGCGAGACAATATTTCTTTTCGGATAGTTGCAGGAACAACGATGCGATGACGATACAGTACAAGGCCGTGATCGTGTGTGAGATCTTCCTTTGTAAACATATATATATATATATATATATATATATATATATATATATATATATATATACCATATAGATAACACTGGATTAATATTTGACATTGTAATATATGATAATATGGATAGATATATATATATCTCGTGGTGAAGGTAAGTTGAGGGTATTGAGGTAATTTAGACTATATTTCATCAAATTATTTGATACATTTGACATTAGAAGAAGTCAAAAATTGTGTGTATATATATATATATATATATATATATATAATATATATATATATATATATATATATATATATATATATATATATATATATATATAGTTCACGGGAGTATTCCCTGATGTAGTGTGTTGCTACTCCCAGGTCCAGGCTAAACAGGTTCAACCCTGTTAGAGGGGCTTACCAGTGGCACTCTGGCTTAATTACTCCCCCCACCAAGATTCGTTTAAGCCAGTAGGTGGGCGGCACACGACTGTTTTTCCCCATACA